GCAAGCCGAAATGGCGCGTAAACAAACAGGCGCGTCACCTACTAGTAGTAGTAGTAGTAGTAGTAGGAGTAGGAGGTGTTGTTGTTGTCGTCGTCGTCGTATTCGTCATTGTTCGCTCTTGTTGTAATATTCGTACAACAACAGAAACAAGAATAATGGCAGTAGCGGTAATTTGTTTGTAAACATAACACATATAGAAGGAGTAGTAGAAGTTGCAAAAATCCTAGGGGTAACTGAAGCTGTAAATGTAAATGTAATATTAGTACTGAAAACAGCAACGGTAATCAACACCACGGCTCGAATGAATCCATATAGATGATTTCAACTGTGCTTGCCGGCCTGCCTGACAACCGCACGTGCCATGGTCCCTCCGTACACTCACTGGCTTCCTCGTGCCCGTTGTGTTTACTGCCAACACTAGTCCGTTGCTACTGTACGTGGAAAAGAACACAGACGCAGCGCGCACAGTCTTTTGTTACAGCAGGTGGCGAAAGTCAAGCAAGTTCAGACCAGCAGAACCGAGCGGGACACAGCGTGCTCAACCCTTTGAGCGGGGTCAAACGAATCTGAAGGGATACAGTAAAATCCAAGTCCAAAAGGACAAAGCAGCGCTGCAGAAATCCAGAAAGGCGTTGAAAGCGGATGGAAGGCGGGACAGAAAATAACTTCAGATACTGCAGCCAAACGGCTGTGGCACGCAGCATCTCTGTACATACAGATTTATCTCCAAACCGTGCTGTCGTCCTGCTTACAATATCATTCATAGCTCAAGGTTGTGAAGAAGATGTTGCAGTTGCCGAAAACTGAAGTCAATAAACGCAGGCGACACAAAGGGTAGTAAGCACCACGGCTCGAGTGAATCCAATGTGCGCTCTTGTGGTAATAGTTGACTCGCTTGATCATTGCCTATGCCATGGTCCTTGCGTGCGTAAAAGGAGAGCATCGTTTGACTAGACTTGTCGAATCTTGGCTGAAACACCTGCGTCAAGTCGCCTAGAACTCTGATGCTAGCTCAGCTCTGGGAATGAGCACATGTCATGATTTGCAGAAGCCCCTTCGAGAGACGAGCAGCGGGGCAGTGCGCTAGCTCAGATGCCATGTTTATATGAAGGTCGCTGATTGACGCGCATTGTGTATGCAAATGACGAGCCGACCCAGTCTCAAGTCTTGGGCGAGCATCGGTAGGAGTAACAGATCTCTTGACAAGAAAAAGATCTGTGGTGTGAAGGTTCTAGGCCTATCAGCAGGTCCGGGGAAGCCACGTACAGGATTTGCCATGTACAACACATCGGCTGAAGTTTGTGGAGAAGAGCCACACAGGTGCGCGCTTCCGATCCAACTTTTGTTGGACAGTACACCGGGTGTGCGGCTGACTGGCCCCATGCCTTTATGTGCGCCGTTCTTTGGCCTGCCTTCTTTTCAAACTGGCTGGTATGCATTTGCTGAAAAGCTCGGGGAGTTCTCTCTGCGTCAAGATTTGCCGCTAACCGGGGTTGCCAATTGCGCGGCCACTACGTCTCACGGCTAGTTGGGATTGCTCTGGAGGACTGCCAATGGGTGTCCATCTTCGGGAATGTGGCGACATTCGCATGGCTCGCTCCTACCTCACATGGACCTTGGGAGCCAGTGATGAAGCAGGCCTGCAATGCACAAGGTTGAACACGCAACTTGCGCGATGCGATAAGTTCCTGTAGCACCTGTGTGACTTGAAGATCCACAGCTGGAAGTGCTCAGAAGAAAGCTTCTCCTCCATTGAGCTGACC